CATTGAGCCTGTGTCAAGCCTTGCCTTTATGGCTTTAGCTAGCCACGGCTCTAGATTCTTTAGCCACATGAACTAATTGATTTCACTGTTGTTTAAACCAGTTGTTCTCGAATATTGATGCACATTAGAATCATCTGTGGAGTTTTTTTAAAATCTTGATTCCCAGGCTGCACTTTATTAAATTATCTCTGGGGATGGAACCTGGTCTCCAGCATGTTTTAAAACTCCCCATGTAATTCCAGTGTGTTGCCAATGCTTTAAACCATTTCAAATTGTATTTTCTATTAACTGCAACAAAAAAAAAAATCTGATATACCTTACAAAAATCATACACCCAGGTGTTTATGTGTTAAAATTGAACAGTCATGTGCATATAAAGCCCTATTTCCAGATGACATCTGAAAACCACTTCTTACTGCTCTTTATCTTCTTGTTGCAATCCATATCTTAATATTATTAATGCATCCAGTTGTGTAGGTGAGGAAAGGCTGCTTCTTCCATGAAATAAAGTGCATGAGATAAAAGTTACCAAAGAAACTTTTGCTTTCTTTGGCTTTATAGATATTGTTCAAATAAGCTGAGATTGCTAGGAACCTGGTCTGAGTAGTGGAGTTTCCCTATGGCAGATCTAGAGACTGAGAGGTACCAGACAGGATTTAAGTTGATGACTATATCTTTAGCAAGATGTAGCATTTAAACCAAAATGAGCCAGTGAAAAATGAAAAAAGAATACAGTAAGGTGTCCAAGAACTAAAAATACTTCCTGACAGATTACACTGCTGCAAAGAAACAGTCATAAGGCACATGACTGCAGGAGCCCTGCAGCTGTTACATAAATCACAGCCTTCTATCCCCAGGAAAATCAACAAACTCCTTCCCCAGAAGGTAAAAACCTATTCTAGAAATTCCCAGCTTTTTCTGAGTTGAATCATGTCTTACTTCATGCTAAAAGAGAGTTATTATTTTTTTCAGCTAACATGAAATCATATTAATCTTGTTTGGTTATTTATAAGAAGATGTACTAGAGTTTCTACATTACAAATTAACTCTATTTCATCTCTTTTTAAAAAATAGATTCTACAACTCCTTTTGCTAGACACAAGAAATTATTCCAACTATTAATATAAGTGAAATTCAGGTGTCAGGTCATTATCCCATTCCTCTGCCTCAGTCAGAAGCCTCACATTTAAACCAAGTCAGAGGGTGTTCCATAAATCTTTGGTAACCATTGTTATGTCTAATAACATCCATATCTTGGAAACAGACTCTTTGATCCAAACTAAATCTTTTATGTTAAAAGTTTAATTCTGTGGTAAAATGTATTATATAGTATGAGTTGAACTCATCAGATATGAGTAAAAGTATCCTTCCACTTTAGATCAATCTCTTACTTCACTCTCCTCATCACACAAATAATTGTGTCTTTCTATAAATAACTGGCTGATTGTATTTCATTATATCTGCTGATTACAAAATATTTTATTACTGCATGATAATTCTGTGAGTGACATAAATGAACGACAATGACATGAAGAGCTTTGCCTTCAAAACATCCACTAGCACTAATGGAGGCAGATACATCAGACATCAAACCACGGAACCAGAACATAGATTTGCAAAAGCAGCAACAACACTCACCAGCCTGGGAGAGGGTTTAGAATGGGAATTTAAAGAAGGATGTATTTCCCAAAACATGCTGAGACACCTAATGACTCACTCATTTATAGAAAAGTCCCCAGGGTCACTCCAGAGGTTTTTCCTGGCTAGTGAAAATACTTAAACAACCATATCTTTAAGGACAGTGGGAAGATTACTGACAAAACCCCGGGGGTGGGGAGGAAGTTACTCTTGAGATATATATTATCTTCAATGTGCTTTTAAAAAATTAGAGAGCTTTCCCCTAACAATTATATTGGAGACATAAAAAAATATACTTTCTTTGTATTCGGACTCAAGTGGCTCCAAAATAGAATTAAGAGATTTTTTTATTATTTGACAAGAATGACTAATCTTTGATATGGTACATAAATTCTGTCTCTCAAAATATCTGTGTTATAATCTGTATATACCAATCAGTTCTCTACATAT